ATTAATACCACCTAAAAATTAATCATTATCTATTCCTATTTCATTACAATCTAAAACAAACACCCACAACACACCAAACCCTCAATTCCATAAATCACTTTAATATCCCCATCCCCAAACTCACCTCCATAACCTAAACACTTATATACATCTACAAAATTACCTCCAAACTCAAAACTTAAAAATAAAACTTTTCTACCCCCTCCCTCCCCCATCATCCCCCAAATTAAACCCCTCCCCTTTACCATCTCCAACAAAAAACAAAATCTCTAAAACCCTATATTTCTCAACCTCAATACCAATTTCATATAAAAACCCCTAAAACAAACCATCTCCCGCACTCTCCCCTTCCTAATCACCCACACCACCACTCCTCTATCACCCCTACCCCCCTCCCCAATTAATAACAATATTAATTTATAACAACCTTCAACCATCACACCACAATATACTCTCTCCAATACCTTTCCACCCCATCATTTCCACCCACAATCCACATCCCCATAAACATTTCCATTCCCCCCCATCAAACATCACACCCTAACTCCTTACCCACCTTCACACCTATTTTTTACTTTACCCATAACCTACCATTATTTTACCATCAATACTCAATTACACTTAACCTCTACCAAAAAACATCCTAACCAACTCCAACAACATATATAAACTCTAATCTTTCAATCCTACTATCAACATTCATAACCACTCAAACCCTCTAAAATCAATATCTCCTTACCTAAATACTATCTAACTAAACAACTAACCACATAACATTCACACCTCAATCCAACTCATAACATATATACTTTAAATCTACAACATATTACCCTAAACCTCCCAAACTCAACTTCCCCCCCTAACTCATCAAACTTAAATACCCATCCCAAATCCCCTTACCAATATTACTCCCTAATCTCATTCTTTCAAACTCCATCCATACCCCCATCACCAATAATCAAAATCCCACCTATAAACAATATATTTCCACAAATAATATATAACCAACAAACCTCTAAAAACCCTACCATACTAAAATCTTCCATTCATCATATCCAAAACTAACTTATAAAATTTCAATCTACAACCTCCTAACTTCCACCCTCTAATCTCATACCCTTCACCTCATCTTACTAACCCCCATACCAATCAAATAACTAATAACCTCTATTTTCCCTACATCCTCCCCTCCCTAACCCCTAAATCAAAAAATCAACTCAAATTTAATCCCCCTCCAACCACCCCCACCTTATTCTAAACCCCTTCTTCACCATTAATTTATCTCTACAAATTCAACACAATCTTTTACAACTTTCACCAAAATCCATACTACTATTCCCCCTCCCATTCTCTATTATATATTTCACATTTAACCCCACTCCCACTTATCACATAACCCATCTTTAAAAAATCACATTCAATTAAACCTCCATTCAATCCCTATTCACACATCAATCCATCTTCCCTATCCCTTCCCCCTCACTACATTAATTCAAAATTTCTCTTCCATCCATCCTTTCACCCCTTCTCAACTCTAACATTCCCTCATCATTTTTCACTTTAATGTTTTATCAAATGAGAGGATAGTGTGCGTAACTGCCACTCCCTCCTCACGGAGGGAAATGGCGAGTGGAACTGTTCATGCGCAATGCACCCACGGTGTGTTTAAAAAAGACAGACCCACCTTAGAGTGGTTAAGCAGGAACAACAGCGGATCGCGAGCACAATGGGGACGTAGAAGCCAACAACTATGTGAAAACAAACTTTAAACCCATGAAAGACGCGGTAAGCGCGTCTCACTCGCAATCGAATTTTAGTTATGATGCGTTCACGCGCCTTTGGAGGAGGCAGAAACAGGATCTTTAACAGATACTTTGTTTTGATAGTTTATTAATGTTGTGCTGAGTTTAGGCAAAACAAAAACTCAGGAAAAAGATCATGTTTAACTAGTTGATTTTTGTTAGTTTAATATTAGTTTCTCTCTTGAGACTTACCTTGCCTATGTTGACATCTTAAGTTAAAAACAAAGGTAGAAACTGATCCTATTTAGAAAATGCAGTTGCAATGATCCACCTTCATTACTTAATGTTAAAATGTATTGTTTAACAAGTTGTGTACTAAAACCAGGTCTATTGATTCAGTGATGGTCTCCCTTGTTAGACTCCACAGCTAAGATACAGACCACAGCTTCAAGGTAGTTAAATTTTTTGTTTAATTAAAATAAATTATATGAAAATCACCCCTTATTTTACAAAGTAAATGTCATTAGTAGTACCATCCCCTATAACATTTTAATACTTTATATTTAGTAATGCAACATGTTTCGCCCAAGGTCTATCAACCAAAGTTTCTGGCATGCGCATGTTTGAATCAATATGCACTGAACTGAACTGAAATGACAAGGTTAAAAAAAAGAATACTTAATTTGGGAAATGTGTATTTGCCCGCGGCCCACTGGCACAATTTTTACTTTGGCCCTTGGAAGCAAAAGGTTTGGGCACCCTGGTCTAGTTACCTGCCGTCTGGTTCCCGATCAGAAACCCCAAAATGGTTTCGTAATAATAGAAGTAATAGTGATAAAAACACACTTTTGTACCTGCAGCTATTTCTACAACTAAACTCGGACATAGACAGAGAAAATAGGGCTGCATTTTTGAGGCGGACCGTTTTTGGTCCATCTTTTTTTTTTCCTTGAAGTCTGGAAGACTGTATGTAGGCACCTTGTTGTCTGAATGTATGGAGAAATTCCTTATGTTATGTTTTTTACGTGTCCCTGTACTGTGAACCAAATTGCCCCATCGGGGACAAGCAATAAAGTGGAAGTGGGCTTTTAACTCGGTGCTGTTGCTAATTTCTGTTTATGGACTAAATCTTTGCAAAAAACCTGTGCAAAGATTTTATTTTTTTACAGCGAGCAAAAACAATTTTGAAAAGGGGTTGGATGTCGTACAGTTGTATTCAAAATGATCATTATTGGATTATGTGGCTGTTTTTTGCTTTTAGTGATCATGAACTTTTTTGGTTACTGTTTTTGTTTGGGATTTTTTAGCCTCACAATTGTTGCATAATGAGAGTTTGAAGACGTGTGTTTTACCTTCAGGTGAAACACTGGAACACAATGGTTTGGGTCACACTTGTAGTCATTTTTTATCACCAGAGAAAGAATTACACAAACTACACAAGATTTTTTGACAACACGACATTATTTTGGACATTTTGAATCACCCGAGCAACACTAGTTGATGACATATATTAAGGCATTAAACCGTTCACATGTTGGATTAACCATAATAACAACAACAGGGCCTACATTCTGCCTGTGTGAGTGTGTGTGTGTGTGTGTGTGTGTGTGTAATGGTGTGTGTAGTGTTCGTGTATGTGTGTGTGTGCCTATGTGTGTATGGCGTGCACCTGTGTGTGTGTCTGGAGTTGTTCTAGCTTATCCACATAATATCAGGAAACTACAAACATGAAACTCTTTAGTCTATAAAATTCTGTCTCTGTCCTGCGATAGTATGAGGACGTGTACACTATGACATCACATTCATCATCACTCCTACAACAAAAGTTTTGCCCATAAATTAGTTTGGGTAAATTCCCAGTTACATTTCTACATGTTTTTGTGTTGGTAGTAGACGCAATTATTCATTTGGGATAAAACAAAACAACAAACAAATGTCACCTCCCTCTGCATTATTTCCCTTCATAGATTGGTTCACCATACATTTTCTACTGAAGACATCATTCAGATTCTAAAATACTAAATAAATAATAAATGTAAATAGCCAAACATTTTAATTAATAAAAAACATTAATAAAACATTGCCAACAAACAAGTCTGCCCGGTTGTCCGGGAGAAAGATAATGCTGTCGTATTATTACAGGGAAGTGGTGACTGCGATCAGAACTGACACTGTGTCTGGTAAATCAATAAAACACGTGGGCTGCGTACAACATGACATTTATGCCAAATGTCATTTATGCTAAATGTCATGTTGGCATAATGTACTTGCATCATTGTTATATTCTGATGTCATCTTTGAGTCATCCTGTATTGACCAATGTTTGATTCCCAAAGAAGAGGAATGGATTCTGAACACACAACAATGTCTTATTTGTCCATAGTCTTCATCCTGTTCACTCGGTCTGATGATCAAACGACTGAGACACTGCAAATATATTCCAGAATCTAAATAATTCATTATGCCTGCTGCTGCGATGATGTTAAAGCAAGGAGCGAGTGGTGGTGGGCCAGTGCTGCTAGAAATGTCCCCGTGAATGTTAGTGTCCCACTCCGCCCCTGGACGAGTCTGATTTTCTTTTCTTTTTTTAAGCATCTCAAATAAAGTGTTTTAATTCGACTGAGGCTTCAAAGTATCGCTTCCCACGTTCATTCATGTCACTAATAACTAATAACCTGATCTAAGCACAGACAGACATTGGGACCGAGTAGTATAGTGTAATGTATAAGCGCAGGTTCTGCACAGGGGATCACTGTGCGCATAGGCACCATATACGCTCCCCCTATGCTCCCCCCCAGCTCCCCCAGCTCCCCTCAGCTCCCCCAACCAAAAATGTCTGGCGCCGAAGACCTGCTGTAACCCTGGTTCACATCCAGTATAGCCCTGGTTTAGTCTTTTCTTTTTCACTGGGTTTCTAACCGGTTAAGATCTAGTTCAGGCCCCACATTTTCATCAACATTCCCAGTGATTATCCCTCGCCTTTGCTCCGCTCCCAAACCGCGCGTCGCTTCGCAGTAAAATCTTTCCACACCTCCGCAGTCTCTGGCCGCTCTGTAGCGCACTGGGCCCGAGGAGGAGAACCAGAGCACACCGCTTACACACACATATACATACACACACACACACACACACACACGTACCCACACATACGCACACACACAAGCGCACACACAGACACTCGCGCATCCAGTTCGCGTCACGGTCACGTACTGTACCTTCTCACTGCGCGCCCCTGCTCTCCTCTCTCAGTCATCCTCCTCAGCCTGGACCTGAGTCTGTCTGGATCCGGATGCAAGCGCCATCACGTCCTCTCTCACAGCGGGCGGGGATGGAGGACATGGAGACGAAAAGCACCCTGTCTGTCGGGCTGGTCGTGCGTCTCTCTCTCCTCCCGCCCCTCTGCACCACAGCGGGCACCAGCACACGTGCACGCGCTCTCACGGACACGCGGAGCACCAGCATCCATCCAGAGGACAGCGGACTGCGCGTGCGCTGCACATCCGCCACCGGGACTAAATATTTAAGCCACCCATGACATGTATGAAGTTGTCTGGTCACAGACAAGGATGAAACGGCAGAAATGAGAGTGATTGGGGTGCACCGATAAGCAAGGCACGTTTATTTGAATAGCACAGTTCATTAAGGCAAGTAAAAGTGCTTTACTGAACAAGATTGACACAATCATACAAGGCATTCAAATCATAAATCACATTGAAAAAAGGGAAGATAGATTCTTCAGTTGTATGCACAGCTAAACAGAACTGTTACTTGACCTTCAGACCAAAACATAGAGTGGAAAAGTTATGACTTCTGCATCTGTTGCAATGAAGAGCTCAGTAATGAAAGAGTCAGGACAAACATGAGGAGGCTGCTTTTCAGATTCATGCTGCTAAAATCTGGAACAATCTTCCTGAAGATGTGAGACAGGCCTCCTCTCTGACAATGTTTAAAAGGAGGTTAAAGACATTCTGTTTAGCTGTGCATACAACTGAGGGATTTTATATTTGTATCTTTCTTTTTAATGTTCTGTGATTATTTATGATTTTAATGCTTTCTTATTTTGTTCAGCACTTTGAATTGCCTTGTGTATGAATTGTGCTATACAAATAAACTTGCCTTGCCTTGGCATGACATAATTGCACAAAATGTCTCATAAAAGACTCATGTAACTATCAAAACAAATCAATAATTGACCGCAGCTATTGTTCCATAAAGACTGACAGATGTAAGTGTAAAGGTAAATGTTTTTTATATTGTCATTTTCATAATGTGATGCAGTCGAATAGTTCTCTGTGAAATGTTCAAACTGTGTAAAATTGGACCACAAGGCACGAGTAGACCATAGACTGTATATATCAATAATAATAATGCATCGGTTTTATATACCGAAGCTCCCACTGAAAGGTCTCAGCTCCTGTGGACTCACCACCTGCAGGAGGATCAGTGAGGGGCTGGTGCTCTGTGTACTGGGTGCAGCTCTGACTGCCACCCCCCCAACCCAGAAATGGATTAAGGGGAAGAAAATGGATGGATGGATGGATGGACGGTTTTATATAGCGCTTTTTGGGACACTCAAAGACGCTTCATGTTATTATTCATTCACACTGGTGATAAAATGATAGCCACAGATGTCCTAGATAGATACTTTATTGATCCCCGTTGGAGAAATTCAGGTGTCCAGTAGCAGCAGAAACACATACAACAAATGAATAGATTATTCAAAAAATAGCTAACAATAGTATTTAAATGCAACAGCACTTTAGGACACAGCAGCAGAGAGAGCCACTGGTGCTGCAAGACGGGCCACAGCAGAAGAGGTGATCAAGCCGCTTGGTTCGGACCATTTTCTCTGCTCTATTCCAAAGGGAGATGCTGAATGCTTTGTTAGCATTTTTTTTTTTTTAATTCGTTGTTTTCATTCCGCATTCCTCCAGTGGATTTTCACCTGATCCGCTTGGTTCAGACCATGAATCCTCTCCGCTCCGGTTTGGACAATGCAAAACCATGAACACGGTACTGCAGTAACATCTCAGGTAGAAAAAAAGCAAGAAAAATATCAACTGTAAAACACAAAACAAGAACTGATTCAGAGCTACTTGGGACTTGCTGCCGTTTCCAGCGCATTCAAAAGAAGTGAGGTAACCATTATGTGCCATCCGACCACCACCAACCATTCACACACACACCAGACTCATTCTTGGGTGAAGTGTCTTGCCTAAGGACACAATGATAGTTTGGAAAATTAGAGCCGCCCCACTGTTGCTTCTTCCTAGAGGTCTCCCATCACAGTACTTACCAGGCCCAGCCCTGCTTAGTCTCAGAGGTCTGATGGGATCTGGCTTTCACATGCAGGTACGGCCATTTGGACATTGCTAATCTATGAATCCCAACAGTGAAGTGCTCATGGACAAAGTTTTGCTCCAACTCACTCTGGCTCCTGTTGCTGTTGCTTTTGTGATTGTTTTCCAAAGCACCTTGAGTTTCCTTGTGTATAAACTGCTATAGAAAATAAACTTGCCTTGCCTGGTTTAGTCTAGCTATTTTTCCAGCATTCCTAGGGCGGTTGGGGGCATTCACATGGTATGATCTTTAAAGCTGAGGTACCTTTCTGCTTTAATACATGTTTTTGTCCCAATAAAAAGAGTAAAAGTTATGAACAAAACCAACCACAACATGCTGTCTCCATCTGATTAGAAAACATGTTATCATTTGCACACCTGTGAGTCTCTATTCTGAGTGTTTCTCTCGTTTTCCATCTGAAAAAGCTGATCTAAAGATGTGACAGAGGCTGGTGAAAAGTAGTGACAGAAGCAAAACGGTTTTATATTTCATGTCAGAAGGATCAGCGGTGTGTAAGAGCTGTCTCTGGGATGACGCACCAGTAAACAGCCCCGCCCGACAGATCCACCTTAAATCTCTCAGCTGTCGAAACATCAGCTGTGTCCGCTTACTTCATCAGAGGTTTGTTCATTCCTTAGTCACAGAAGTGTTTGTCACAATACAAGCATCATGTCCAGAGAAGAACGCCGGTGAATTGAATGGAATATGGAGACTGGATCTACCGCTGCGGTGTTAAGAATGATAATGATGCATTGGTTTTATATGGCGCTTTAGCCACAGTTGAATTGGTGTCTGAAATGTGCTACATAAATAAAGGTGTTGTATTTACTTGCGAATGATCCATCGTAGCTTTTTACGTTTTGCCCCAAATCACAACAGTAGTAGTTTTGGAAGACTTAAAGAGCGATTAAGCACAAAATCAACTTTTTTCAACTCATAAACTGCATAAATATGCTTATTGTAGTCCTCTCTACATATCCTGGTCATTATTCTGACATTTTAGTTCAAATTAGATAAAATCTCACTTTTGAGCCAAAAAACGTCTGTGTGGTGCCCTCTCAACCTTTTTGGTGGTACTACATTTGAATTTGGTCCTGGCCTCTCCATTGACTCTGTAATTCTCTATGACATCAGTTGTTTTGTGTGACGTGCGTCTCTCTGCGCCAGTGATATCAACCCATTCAACTCTCACACACGCCCCAGCTGCAGGCAGGAGTATTCTGGCGCCATCTAGTGGTTTAAAATTACATGAGTAATTATGAGAATATTATGTGGATTTGTTTCAGGTGTGTAGCTTTACAATTATCTTAGTGTGTAAACAAGGGTGGAATGAGACTTTCCGGTGTGTAAACTATTGCTTTAAGCAGCAATGACAACTGTCTGTTTTTTTGTTTAACAAGTGAGCTGTCAATCATATCCCAGACCACGCCCAACTCCAAGTCCCCCTTCTTGTCCCTTGGTCCTCCAGGCTACGCCCTTTTAAGAGAACGTATTCAAATCTTCATGTGGGCGGAGTTAGGAGGGTCACAGGTGTGTAGTCGCTCTTTAAGGTTGTCGATTCGCCCAAAATTCCCTTACCACCAAAAACATGTACAATAGGTATGAATGTAAACGAGGGAGTGAATGGATGGTGTTGGTTGGAGGCTTTGACGCGCCAGTGTGTTTGACGCGCCAGTGTGTTTGGCGTAGGCGTTTCACTTCCGTATCACCGTGTGTGGAGAGATTGGAACAATATCTGAACTCGGAACATTGTAAAGCCCTTTGGGTGAACTTGGTCTGCTATATATATTCTAACTAACTCAAAAAACAGTGGCCTAAAAGTGAGAAAATTCAGGGAGGCCCATGATAAGAGAGGGATCTGCTTCAATGGATGGACAGGCAGTTGATTCAGGACTCAGGCCAGCACGAGTCTGGCCCAGGGTAGGCCGTCCACAGGGGCAGATAAAAGAGGCAGAGTTCAGTGGTCTCATCATCACCTAAGTCATAATGATGATCTGTCATCATTGATGGCATTAGTAGCAAAAGGAGAGGACAGTATTTCACCCAGCAGGGGTCTCCATATGCAGCATCACTGTGTTTTTTGGTATGCTTATAAGTTTATATATAAACATTAAGTTTGGCCTTGAATATCCATTAATGCAGAGACTGTATACGCTTCCTTCCTCTGGTTATAATTTATGCATCCATTTTCTTCCGCTTCATCCGTTGCCAGGTTGCGGGGGCAGCAGTCTAAGCAGAGACGCCCAGACTACCCACACACACTTCCTCCAGGGGGACCACAAGGCGTTCCCAGGGCTGCTGAGGTCCCCCAAGGATGTCCTGGGTCTTCCCCGGGGGCTCCTCCCGGTGGGACGTGCCTGGAACACCTCCCCAGGGAGGCCTCCAGGCGGCATCCGGAACAGATGCCCGAGCGACCTCAACTGGTTCCTCTCGACGTGGAGAAGCAGCGGCTCTACTCCGAGCTCCTCCCGTGTGACTGAGCTAATCACCCTATCTCTAAGGGAGCGCCCAGCCACTCTGCGGAGGAAGCTCATTTCGACCGCTTGTATCCGCGATCTCGTTCTTTCGGTCACTAAACAAAACTCATGACCATAGGTGAGGGAGGGTGAGGGATTGACCGGTAAATCGAGAGCTTTGCCTTTCAGCTCAGCTCCCTCTTTACCACAACGGTCCGATACAGCGACCGCATCACTGCGCACGCTGCACCGATCCGCCTGTCAATCTCACGCTCCATCCTTCCCTCACTCGTGAACAAGACCCTGAGATACTTGAACTCCTCCACCCACCCGGTTATAATTTACATTAATCCTAATTATTTACCTTTTATTCCTCTGGCACCCTTCACTCCTCTAACCCTAACCCTAACCCAATGCTAGATAATGTTCAATGATTTAAAGAAAAGGAGAAGGTCAAATCGTAGGAGTCAAAGTAACATGAGATGTCCATGAAGAGGGAGATGATGGAGGGGGAGTAGAAAGTAGGCACCATAGGTTTATTTGTGTATAGTTCATTCACAACTCATACTGTTTACAGTTATTTCCTATAATATGAATATTACAGACACATGCTTCAACCGAAGTTACAGAAACTGAAGCTTTTTTATGTGAATCCACACTTTATGCCAACTCTGCTCGATTGGCTCCCGCTCTGATCAGCCACGCTGATTGGTCAAGATGCTGCGAGCCCCTCTGCATGAGCATGAGCCACACTATTTTTGGCGCAAACAACAGGGATTTCGTCCACTGTGCAGAACTGGGAGGACCAGAGAAATGCCCAAAAATGGGCGAGTTGGGCTAATCTTTTGGTGCCCATGGTAGCACATGTGCGACTGAGGGCAACCCATGGATTTGAATGAGGCGCCATATTGAATCGCTGGGGCTTACTTAAATTTTTCTCTCTTGTTTGTCTGCCCTTTTTCGGTGTTCCCGGACAAAAGGAGCTGGAGCACCAAAAGAGGGTTCCGGGGCCGAGAGGGTATCCTGGGTTTTATCTTTCAGATATACTATAGTTTTGAAAAAAATAATTCACTGCTAAATTTAAAAAAAGAGATATATTTTTGGTCATCTGTAAATTGTAGAATCACTCCTTTTAATTATTGCTTTATTTTTTTATATTCTGTTTATATTGGGCTGCAGCTAGTGTTGCTTAGAGACCTGCGGGAGCGGGACCACCTCGAACTATCTATGCTTGGATCACATTCGGACGCAAAACTAGCAGTATTCTTTAACATATTTTGTTAGCAGTGCGTTGCTTTTGTACCATTTCATTAGTGATTGTTGTACAGCTTAAGTTGCGCTAATGCTAATGTTAGCATACAATCAGATCGCAAATAAAACTAGATGGCTCTGTGGGATGAGAGCGTAGGGGAAATGAGAAGCCTGTGAGCGAGTTGAAGGGCGGTGCTAAACATTCAAACCTTGCAGAAACGGTTATAGCTCCTTTAAGAGTCATCCTGACATCTCTACAGCAGGGGTCACCGACCTTTTAATATCTGAGGGCTACCTCAATACAGTCTCTGCTGTCTGGTCTCGCTCTGGTCTCTGGTGTCTCTCTGGTGTCTCTCTGTGGTGTCTCTGTGGTGTCTCTCTGGTGTCTCTCTGGTGTCTCTCTGGTGTCTCTCTGGTGTCTCTCTGTGGTGTCTCTGTGGTGTCTCTCTGGTGTCTCTCTGGTGTCTCTCTGGTGTCTCTGGTGTCTCTCTGGTGTCTCTGGTGTCTCTGGTGTCTCTGGTGTCTCTCTGGTGTCTCTGGTGTCTCTCTGGTGTCTCTCTGGTGTCTCTCTGGTGTCTCTGGTGTCTCTCTGGTGTCTCTCTGGTGTCTCTGGTGTCTCACTGGTGTCTCACTGGTGTCTCTCTGGTCTCTCTCTCTCTCTGATCAGATCACATACATAGATTTGATCAGTATTCGAGGGCAACAATAAAAACACACCAAAAGCTATAACAAGTATTATATATAAGTTTTGCAAATCACAATGAAAAGAACAAAGCCTTTATTAAGTTACAGGTCACTGGGTTTAGATTCTGCTCTGCCGCATGTTTCGTTGGATCACTTTGTGGTCTGGTTGGTACGCCGCTGGGGACTATCCGATGTGCTGCTGTTGCTGTTTCAAGATCATATCAGAGAAACTGGACCAGCCCAGACCTTGTGCCTCTGACCCCGAGTCGGACTACTCCAGTTCAAAGATGTGAAATTAGGAAACCTCCACTCAGGGGACATGCAGCATTATATAAACTCTACTTCATTTTCATTGAACTTTGCATGTTTCACCGACCACTATTTCAACCCGGAAGGGTTTTAATATAATTGGATTCAAACATGTCAAAGTCAAACGTGTTGTACTCAGAATGTTGCATGGCCATTTATTAAAAAACAGATTATGTTCAGGCAGTGCTTCAAACGAGTCAGAAGAAAAATGACAAATTTGTATTGAATGAAACTATATATATTTCAGAAATGTTGTATGTTATTAAAGAAGCTATACCCAATTTTTTTTCGAAGTAGTTCACAAAAATGCTTATTACTACATACAAGTGGTATTATAATCTATAATTTAATTGAAAACTTGAGATCAATGATTCAGCGGTGTATGAGTTTGCTGCCGTGAAAAGTGCTGAGTAGAGTCTGAGCGGGACGCTCGTTCTCCTCCACTCACAGAACGAGCAGCAAACAGCCTGCGTCCTCTAGCCCCTACACTAGGGCTTCGGCCTTGAAATTCGAATATAATTCTAAAATTAAAAAAAAATATATATTCAAACAAATATTAGACAGCCCTTATAATTCAAAATGTATTTAATGACTGCAAATAAAATAGTTAGCTCCCAAAGGTTTCACCGTGACGTGCTAGCTAGCTTAGTTTTTTAACTAAGCTAGCGAGTTCAAAAACTAGAACTGCATGAAAACTGAACAAAGAATTCTGAACATCAGCGGTGAGTTACCCATTTATATACCAAACCTAAATCCATCAGATCCTCCGCAAATGTGTCCTAAAATGTTCGTTTCATGTTAATGGTTACTTCCGGGTTTTTCGCGATCGCTTTTTGTCACATTAAAACAGTATTTTTGTCATGAAAACGTTAACAGCAAATTCTGAAAACGTATTTGTCAAATAAACTGTTGGCCGACACAGCTTACTGAATTCGACTTGTCTGCTTTATTAACAACTCGCATATATCATGCTGCTTACATGTTTCAGATCTCGTCTGTCTAACACACGAACTCTCGCGTTACTTCCTATATATAATGTATTGACTACGTAATGCACCTTTTACATTACAGATACCTTGACATCTCCCCCTCAAATTATTATACTTATATAACATGGGGTCACAACATTAAGCTTATAATTAGTAAACCTTATTACCTGTTAGTTTAAACAACTTAAAAGAGTTACTGCTTTTCTTTCTTGTCTTTACCCATTAACCTTAAAATACTGTACTTCTCAGATTACTTCTAAATGTAAATAATAACTCAAACTTAACTTAAATCCTTAATAAAACTTAAATTCACTGTTCTCTGAGTTGCTTAACTACATGTCCATTCTTTTCACAGGTCTACTAACTCTACCAAACCTGGTCACTGTCAGTCCTTCTGGTATTACTGTAGGACTCTTAACATTACTCTCACACAGTCCCTGGTCAGAGCCGTGTTGTGGTGCTTCTTGCTCTGGCTCTGTGGTAGGTTGCCCAGAGTCTGTGTTCTCCTCTTCCATCGGTGGCAGCACTTGTTGAAGATGACGCCTGTTTCTCCTCATCTCTCCTCCTCCTGGCGACTTCACCTGGTATGAGCGCGGCGTGCCGCACTCCTGCTGCACCGATGCTCGACCTTTCCACACCTTCTCCCCGTCCAGCTTGGACAGGACGTGGTCACCTGTGTGCAAGGGTGGCAAGTCCCTCGCTCCGTGTCTCCGGTTGTAGTAGAATGCCTGTTGTTGTTTGGCTTCTTCATCACGGCGACGGATGAGGTCACAGTTTGGCTGCTTTGGAATGAGGTTTCTCTTTCGAGATGGCAGTGTGGTGCGAATCTTACGCCCCATGAGCATTTCTGCCGGGCTCACTCCTGTGGATGTGGTGGGGGTGGCGCGGTAGCTCATTAAAGCCAATAGTGGGTCGTCCTGCTTGAGTATGCGCTTTGCAGTTTGCACAGCGCGCTCTGCAGTTTGCACAGCGCGCTCTGCATGCCCGTTCCCTTGTGGGTTGTGCGGGCTGGATGTGGAATGTTTAATGTCATACAGCCTGCAAAACTCTTTCCAAGCATCACTGGTATACTGGGGCCCGTTATCACTGACTAAAAGCTCAGGGATTCCGAACCTGGCGAATGTTGCTTTCATGGACCTCACTACCTGTTCTGTAGTTGTGGTTGATAAGTGTAGTATCTCCAGATACCGTGAGTAATAATCTGATATTACTAAGTATTGTTTTCCTTTGTATTCACAAATGTCTGTGGCTATCTTTTGCCAAGGTCTCTCAGGCAGGGGTGTTGACAGTAACTGCTCTCTGCGCTGAGTGCGTCTGTTTGTCAGACAAAAGTTGCACTTGTCAATTTTTCTTTTAATGTCCCCTGACATCTTGGGCCACCACACAGTCTCTTGAGCACGTTCTCTACACTTGGACAGGCTCTGATGTCCCTCGTGTAGGCGGTCTACCACCTCCTGTCTCAAGGCCTGTGGGATTACAATGCGACAGCCCAGCGTGATCAGGCCCTCACATTCAGACAGTGAGTCTCTCATGTCGTAGAAGTCTCTAACACTGTGTGAAGTGCTACTCACTCGTTTGGGCCATCCATCCCTGATCAGCTTTCTCACGTGCTGGAGCTGTGGGTCCTCCTGCGTGGCTGTCCTGATCCGGTCCAGCTTGCTTTGTGAGACAGGCCAGCTGTGTGTCACTGCGTTCACGTGGCTCGCAATGACTGCTTCCGTAGTGCTGTAGCTCTCCTTCAGCGGGCTGCGTGACAGTGCGTCGGATATGACCAACGTTTTGCCCGGTGCGTACTCGGCCTTTGCATTGAAGCGCATAAGCCTCATCAAAAGTCTCTGACACCTAACAGGCACCGCGTCTAGGTCTTTGCTGTTTATCAGCGGCACCAGCGGCTTGTGATCTGTTATGAGTCTAAATTTGTCCATGCCAACCAGGTACTTCTGGAACCGCTCACAGGCCCATACTCCTGCCAAACATTCCTTCTCGATTTGAGCGTACCTGGTTTCCGCGTCCGTTAATCTTCTGGAGCAGTACGCTACAGGATTCCAGCTCTCTCCGTGCAGCTGGAGCAGGACTCCTCCCATCCCGTAGCTACTCGCATCCGCTGACACTGCGGTCGGTCTCTGTGGATCATAGTGGGCCAGTACAGGCGAGGTGACGAGGGCTTCTTTCAAGCGCTGAAACGCTCGCTGCTGTGGCTGGTCCCAGGTCCAGGCCATCTTCCCCTTTAGGAGATCGTACAGTGGGCCTGCGACATTTGCCATGTCTGGTATGTATTTGCTCATGTAATTTATCATGCCTAATGCACGCTTCAGTTCATGTACATTGGTGGGCGCATCCAACTCTCTGACGGCGCTCACCTTTTCTGGGTCCACTCGAACCCCGTTGGCGTCCACGATGTGGCCCAGGAAGCGTAGCTGTGGTTGTGCATAAACACATTTTTCTTCATTCAGCTTAAGGCCTACTTGCTTCATACGTTCGAGTGTGCTTTGCAAGTGTCTGTCATGTGTGGCCTTGTCCTTTCCATGCACAATCACGTCATCCATATACCCTGCGACTCCTTCCAGGCCATCTAGCAGCTCATGCATTTTGCGCTGGAATATCTCTGGGGCTATATTAATCCCAAACGGAAGGCGGGTAAAACAGTACCTCCCGAAAGGTGTGATGAATGTGGTTAGAATTCTGCTTTCTTCGTGAAGCGGTATCTGCCAAAAGCCTGAAGCAGCGTCGAGGGATGTGAACACGGTGGAGCCCGCCAGCTTACCCAGCGTCTCATCTGTGGTAGGTAGCTGGTAAGTTTCTCTCTTCAGGTTCTCATTCAGCTTCTGGAGCCCTACACAGATTCTGACGGCGCCTGACGGCTTCAGGACTGGCACCATTGGCGCGCACCATTCTGTCGGTTGTGTCACTTTGACAATCACGCCATGTTCCTCCATGCGCTGTAGCTCAGCTTGGACTTTCGAAAGGAGTGGCAGTGGGACTCTCCTGGCTGTGTGTACGGCGTGTGGCACGGCGTCGTCACGTAGCTGTATCTTCACCGGGTCGGTCTTCATCGTGCCCTGGTGGACGGCTGCTGCCTTCACCTGCTGTACTCGCTTAACCAGCCCCATCTCCACTGCTGTATCTCTGCCCAGTAAGTTATTAACTGTAGGCCCTCTAGCTACATATATATTGAATATGTGCTTTCTCTGTTTATGTAATGTGCTAGCTGTAAATTGTCCCATAATGTCCAATGTTCCTCCTGGACTCTCTAATGGGCCATGGTGTGGCTCCAGCTTTCTTTCTGGTTTGAGTGCTTTGAATGTTTCCATGTTCATTACAGTGACGTCAGCACCTGTATCAATTCTAAATTTCACTGGTGTATACCCTATGTGAATTTGCTCAGTCCATTGCTCTGCACTGCTTTGTTTTTGTTTACTCACTGCACCAAGATAGAAGCTTTCGTCCTCATCATTTCCTTGGTTAACTTCCCTCACAGTCTTTGTGAAGCATTTTCTTTCCCAATGCCCCTTCTTCCCGCACTTCCTGCATTCGGAATCCGTTGCTGGGCATTTGGCTGCATTTTGGTGCTTTTCTTTACCGCACCGATTGCACTTGCTCTCCCCTTGGTAGCCGTGCTGCTGTCCTCCGCTCCTCTCTCCCTGCGGTTTCCCTCCTTTCTTCACGAACCTCTTTTGTTTCACTGCTTGCACCGCCAGTGGAGCCTGCTGCTCTTGCTGGGTTATCTGTTGTGCTACCTCTTCAGCTTGCCTCACCATAAGCACTGCCTTTTCGAGGGTTAAATCAGAAGTTAATTGCAATTTTCTGGACAGGTCTTTATCCCTTATCCCAACGACCAATTTGTCTCTTATGTGTTCATTTTTCTTATCGCCAAACTCACAGTTCTCACTCAGTTCGTGCAGGGCTCGGATAAATGTCTCCGCCATTTCCCCTGGTTTCTGTTGCCTTTGGTAAAAGCATGCCCTTTCATGTATTGTGTTTCGTTTGGGTATGAAATACTCATCAAACTTTTCCAAGACAGTCTCATAATCATTTTCGTCTTCTTCCTCCGTGAAGGTAAAAGTCTTGAAAATATTTTCGGCTTCGTTGCCCATTGCGTAAATTAACGTGCTAACCTGGACGTCGGCATCCTCGAGGCTTAGCTTGGAAGCTGACCTGAATCGTGCGAATCTCTGTCTCCACGACGGCCATTCTCCCGGTTTCTCAAAGTTGAAGTTTTCCGGTGGCTTGAACTTTGCCATTTCTGTGCGTGTGTTCTCTCCTAGAGCACTTCTGACACCATGTCAAATAAACTGTTGGCCGACACAGCTTACTGAATTCGACTTGTCTGCTTTATTAACAACTCGCATATATCATGCTGCTTACATGTTTCAGATCTCGTCTGTCTAACACACGAACTCTCGCGTTACTTCCTATATGTAACCCGCCTGGTTAAAAGGGTTTATTATAATTTATGTAGAAAAGTTTATTTTACATTTTTATTTTGAAAACCGGAAGTTTTATTTTGCCGTAAAACCGGAAGTAGTATGCAAAACCGCAGTTAGCTTTATGGCGCTCACTCGACGAACTGCTCTACTTTCCCCTCTTGCATGTTGGTTGATAAAAACACATCGTAAGAGGTTGGAGAACCGTTGAGGAAGCACTTTTATTTGTCCTGAATCTCCCGAAGTGAAACTTGGTCAGGTCTTTTTGTGAGGCCGTGATACTGAGAGATCCCAGCCTTGGAGTACAACGAGGTTGAGGGATAGAATCATCGATGGCGAGCCTCCCAGTCGAATTCTGAGTCCTACCACCGTTCCTGCAGATGCTGTGGTAGGATTGTGTCAGTCCCACTGACGGACACCAACGAGAGTCTTCAACAGTCAACGAGTACCTACATTCCCTGACTTGACTATTTCCCCTGACTATATTGACTTGAACATTGAACACAAATTCCGGGAAGAACATTTTTCCTAAAGACAATTTTATTTTTAGTTGGGCCCATAGATTTTGTTTAAAAATGTATGTGCACTATTTTCATTTTCTTAACTAAAAGTCACATTTGATTTAACTATTTGTGTGCGGTGTTTATTGCTATCCTCAGCTCCTACGAACCTAGAGGTCCAACGTGTACATACCTTGAAGTGGGTTACACGGTAAAAAAATTGGCGAGCCAGCCAGGAGCTTTGTATAGCAATAACGTTACTCTTTACGTGTTAAAGGTGTCAACTTTTAAGTTTCATCAAAATGGATGTAATAGAAAAAGAAAATGTGAAGGTTCCCAATGCTGTCATTGTATCAGGGTTGACCAATACTAATGTCGATGAAGACATTACAGACTTTCTAAAGCAATATGGAGCAATTGGCAGATTGATCAAAGTTTCAGATGCTAATTCTGATTTTTTTGGTATGGTCATTGTAGAGTATATTTCTGGTGCTGCAGTGGAGACACTTGAGAAAGATTTACCTCTTGATAGAACAAGTGATTTAGATACTAGTGTTGTCTTCCACATTGAAGCGTTAGCTAGTGTATACTCTACTCAAAAAGGTACCGATCTCACAGCATCATTCATGTCAGAGCTCCAAAACATTGCAAAACTCAGTGGAAAACCTTTTGAGACCCTGTTGCGCGACGAACTAACTAGAATTACGGGTCTAGTTACCGAAACCCCTCTGGGCGAAGAGTCACATGCTCAGGGCACAATAGTAGCACCTTCTGTAGCTGATCAGGGTCCTGTTTCCCCTGATGCCACTCAAACAGATTCTGAGATTAATGACCAAAACCAACCTAATGAATCCCCAAACACAACCTTCAGAACCAATGTGCCGACTATGCCAACCTTAAGAGCATCAGCCCCATCCTTTCTCCCTACTCCTGAACTGCTTAATCCTCCTGAAGTTCAGCGTGTAGTTGTTGAACACATTGTCAAAAGTTCAGACCTCTCTTCACAGATACATGCCCCAGTGAAACTCAGACCCTTTTCTGGCAGAGTCCCTTGCCCAAATTTTGAGGTGGATTATGATACTTGGAGGAGCAATATTGAATGCCACTTAGCTGATCCTACTATCCCTAGTGGCCAGCTTGTTAGGCGCATCGTTGATAGTTTATTGCCACCTGCCTCAATTGTGGTCAAGTCATTAGGTCCCCATGCTAATCCAAAAGCTTTTCTAGACCTGTTTGACTCGGCCTACGCCACAGTGGAAGATGGCGATGAGCTATTCGCCCAGTTTCTAAATGTCAATCAAAACTCTGGCGAGAAACCTTCCAACTATCTTCAAAGATTGCAGACACTGTTGATTCGGGTTGTGAAAATGAAAACCATTTCACCCCAAGATTCAGACAAGCAGCTCCTAAAACAGTTCTGTAGAGGCTGCTGGAACAATGCACTGATCAATTCCCTTCAACTTGAGCAAAGAAAAGATTACCCGCCTACTTTTCCAGCGTTTTTGCTCCTTCTAAGAACAGAGGAGGACAAACAAACAGCAAAAGCAAACAGGATGAAACAACATTTAGGGTTTCAAAAACCAAAGACACAGGCAGCGACAAACATGCATGAAGCCTATTTTGCAAACACTTTTGAAACGGAACCGTCCTTCTCAAACCCCCCATCAGTTGTGGAGCAGATTCAAAAGCAAATTGTCAACTTGCAAGCGCAAATAGCTGCTCTTTCAACTCCAAAACAAGATTCTTCCACTTTCCAAAAACCTGCAAAGAAAAAGCAGAAAGAGAAACAAAAAGAGAAACCAGTTGCTAAAAATACATCAACACCTACCTCAGAAACCGCAGCTGCAAAAGTAAAACAAAGACCAAAACCGTGGTACTGTTTTCGTTGTGGGGAGGACGGGCATATTGCCACGAGCTGTAATGATCCTCCAAATCCCACACTTGTGTCCGCAAAGAGAACTCTGCTAAAGGGAAGACAACAAGCTTGGGAAAAAGAAAATCCAATCCCTGAACAACATTTAAACTGAACAATGTTTCTATTGAGGGACAAATAGGAACAAAAACCAATGAATGTCCCACAACTGAACCAAGAACAAAACCAAAAGCTAAAATCAAAGAACACAGAGTAACACAGAACAGAATCCTTCCAAAAGGCCTAGTTGGGAGTAAGAGCACAGCAAATGTTAAAGTAAATGGGCTTGAGTGTAATGCATTGCTTGATACAGGTTCTCAGGTAACTACTGTGTCACAGTCATTTTATGACAGTTACCTTACAGAACATGTCATTCACCCTGTTGCTGACCTATTAGAGATTGAAGGGGCAAATGGCCAGTCAGTGCCATACCTTGGCTATGTTAAACTTAGACTCCAGTTCCCAAAAGAGTTCATTGCCATTCAGCCTGAGATCGAGACTCTTGCTCTTGTAGTGCCAGACGTTCGTTCCAATAGTCTAACTCCATTGTTAATCGGAACTAACGCACTTGACCCACTCTACGATCAGTTCTGTGATGATAAGGCAGTTCTGACCAGTCCGTATTGTGGCTACCACCAAGTCTTAAGAACTCTTCAGATTAGGCACAAACAAAGTTCAGATGGCCATTTAGGTCTTGTAAATCTGAAAAATTCTGAACCAAGCGTAATCCCTGCTGGTCAGAAAGTTGCGCTCGAGGGATATGCAAGCATTGACAATGTAACAAATGATAAATCTGTGCTCCTTGAACAACCTACAGTGTCTTCTTTGCCTGGTGGAATTTTTGTTGACTGCTGTCTCATTAATCTTCCAAGAGACTCTCCTTTCAAAGTACCTGTAGTTTTGAGGAATGAGACTGATCGTGACATCTCCTTACCCGTTAGGTGTGTCATTGGCGAACTTAGCGCTATTAAAGAAGTTAGGCCAACTCAAAACACAGCAAGTTGTAGCAGTCAACAGCAGCCCACTAACCAGACAGACAGCAAGCCTAGTTCAAAACTGTCATTTGAATTTGGTGAGTTGCTTCCCGAAGAATGGAAAGTCCACATGACAGAAAAGTTAAACAGTTTTTCGGACATCTTTTCTCATCACGATCTAGATTTCGGGCATGCAACAAAAGTCAAACATTCAATAAAACTAAAGGATGAGACGCCTTTCAAACAACGGCCACGGCCGATACATCCACAGGACTATGACGCCGTGAGACGTCATTTGCAGACTCTCCTTGAGGCCGGAATCATTAGGGAATCCCAATCTCCCTTTGCATCGCCCATAGTCGTTGTGAAAAAGAAAAATGGAGACGTCCGATTGTGTGTGGACTATCGGCGTTTAAACACTCAGACAATCAAGGATGCATATGCATTACCCAACCCTGAGGAGTCATTTCTGCCCTCAATGGATCCCAATGGTTTACAGTCATGGATTTGAAAAGTGGATACTATCAGATTGAAATGACGGAAAGTGACAAGGAAAAAAACAAGCATTCGTATGCCCCCTTGGCTTTTGGGAGTGGAATAGAATGCCACAAGGAATCACAAAAGCGCCCAGCACTTTCCAGCGCTTAATGGAAAGATGCATGGGGGACATCAACTTGCGTGAGGTTCTTGTGTTCCTTGATGATATAATTGTATTTTCAAAAACACTCGAAGAACATGAAACCCGTCTGACCAATGTGTTAAATCGCTTGCGTGAAAATGGCTTGAAGTTGTCACCTGACAAGTGCCGCTTTTTCCAAACATCAGTTCGCTATTCAGGCCACATTGTCTCTCGAAGTGGTGTTGAGACCGATCCCCAAAAGACCGAAGCATTAAAGACCTGGCCAAGGACCGCAGAACTTAAAAGACCTTAGGTCATTTCTTGGGTTTTCAGGGTATTATCGTAGGTTTGTAGAGGGGTACTCTAAGATTGTAAAACCCTTAAACAAACTGACGGCTGGGTACCCACCAGTACGAAAAGGGGCTAAAATCACCAATTGGCTGCAAAGTACTTCAACCCAAAAGAACCGTTCCGTGGAAGGTGGACAAAAGAGTGCCAAACAGCTTTTGAACAGATTATTGAAAAGTTGACGTCCGCACCAGTTTTAGGGTTTGCAAATCCAGATTGCCATACGTTGTTCACACTGACCGAGTACAACAGGCCTTGGTGCGGCGTTATACCAGATTCAAGAAGGTCAGTCACGTGTCATTGCGTATGCAAGCCGCGGTCTCTCTCAGTGTGAAGCCCGTTATCCAGCCCATAAGTTGGAATTTTTAGCTCTCAAGTGGGCTATCACGGAGAAATTCCACGATTACTTATATGGCAATGTTTTCACTGTGATTACCGATAATAATCCCTTGCGATACGTCCTA